AGGAGGGAGAAGTGCTGAAACTTACTGGTAAAGCAGGGCGGCCCAACTTTCCATACCAAGTGGGCTCCAGTAGGACTTTGACACCGCACCCATGACTCCCACATTGCCTCGCCCTGCGGGAGGTAGGAGTGGGGCCAAAATTTGCCCCCATCCCCATCCCTTGCGCTGCCTTGTGCCTAGCGAGTTGCTGCGTTTTGGGAAAGAGGCTCAAGGCTCTGGCAGGGTGCTAGAGCCTTCCCACGTCCCTCCCAAAGTTGGGAAAGCACTAACTAGACTTTGAGGAGAAGTGGAAGGGACTCTAGGACCCTATCAGAGCCTTATACCCAGTGAAGCAATCTGTGATGGCCTGGGAATCTGATTCAGAGGCTGAACCGGAGGAATCCCAGCCTGCACAGGAGTCCAGGGACAGGGGCTTGAACCTGAAGGGCCCTCACCTCTGCCGGATCCTCAGGAGCAGACACCAGCTGAGTCTGCTCTGGCTCCTGAGGTGATGGAGGACCCATTGCCTGCAGGTGCTCCTCTCCCAGCCCTGTCAGGGGAAGGTGAGGTTGCCTCTGGGTCCAGTAACCCTCCAGCCTCTCCTGAGCTGCAGAGGCTCAAGGCAGAGAGGCGGAGGGAACTAAGTTCTCAGATGAGGAGTGTTCACCTCCAGGCCAGGGGAGGTGAGGCACCTATGGACTGAGGCCACCCTATGCCTCAGAGGAGATAAAGGCCAGCCCGCCCAGTCCCAGGTTGTGGGAGTAACATTGTTGGTTACCTGTTCCTGCCGGCACCCTGTCCTGCTTTCTGCCAGAGTTCCTGACCATGCCCGACTCCCTGCCTTGGACCCTGCTTCAGCCTCAGACCGGACACGGACCACGCCACATGGTAAGCCCCTCCCCAGGACCAGCACACAATCTTTTTAATGTGGTGCCCCGTGTGTGGTGCCACACAACACCCTGACGCCACACGCGCAATGCCGCAAGGAGCCAGGGGGTGGAGCTGAATGCCCTCTGAATATTGAGGGGGCTCAGGCCTCTCAAAAAAAAAAAATGCCCCCCCCGAAACCGCCCCTTGGAGTTGGCATGGCTGCTCATGCCTTCTTCCCAAAGCCCAGCATCTTACTTATTCTGCTTTGGGAAGGTGGCGCAAGGGCTGGGGCGAATTTATGTGTCAATTGTCGCCAAAGGTCACCCAAAAAAGGCCACCAGTTGGACCACCCTGTGCTAAGGCGTCAAAGAGAGTCACCAATACAGGATATGCGATCAAAGCAATTCCACCTTATTTAAAAGAGAGTTCAGTCCAGGAATTGAGGGAACAAATATTCTGTTCCCAATCATTTGCAGGTTGTGCTGTCTCTCCCTTCCCTCCCCCTATTTGTAGGGAATTTGTAACCTAAAAAAAGGATACAAAGTAAAGGTAAAGGGACCCTTGACCATTAGGTCCAATCATGGCTGACTCTGGGGTTGCGGCGCTCATCTTGCTTTATTTGCTGAGGGAGCCGGCGTACAGCTTCCAGGTCATGTGGCCAGCATGACTAAGCCGTGTCTGGCGAACCAGAGCAGCGCACGGAAACGCTGTTTACCTTCCCGCCGGAGCGGTACCTATTTATTTACTTGCACTTTGACGTGCTTTCAAACTCCTAGGTTGGCAGGAGCAGGGACCGAGCAACGGGAGCTCACCCTGTTGCAGGGATTCGAACTGCCGACCTTCTGATCGGCAAGCCCTAGGCTCTGTGGTTTAACCCACAGCGCCACCTGTGTCCCAAGGATACAAAACTGTGACGCAAATACCGTCCCTCATACAATTTTTTACCATGAACCTATAAAGGGGCCTTGAAACAGAAAAACCCACAAGGACCTCCCCTGGGCACCTTGCAATGATAAGATAAGATTAGCAATGGCCACAGACTCACAATAGAAAAATCCGATTCTTTCAGCACATCAGATTGACTCTATGGAGCTAAATGCTAATTTATTTATTTTTTGCTCGCCTTCGTCATATATCACATCCTCGTTCCTCGATGGTTTTCTCCGGAGGTTCACGTTTGTTATTTCTCCTACTCCTGCACCTGCTTGATATTTCTGCTTGCTAGATTGGGGAAAGTAAAAATAGGATTTCCCACTTAATGACATTTCTATGCTTGCAACATTTTGATTGACATGTTTGTGCACCCTGCTGCTTCCCCCCCTCCCTTAATCCCCTTTTTTTTTTGTCGCTCACAGACAGATAAAGCATCATTGCTACAACCTCACCTCTGCTTTAAGGTGAAGGACATTCCTATCCAGAGCGTCAGAACTGGGTGCAGACTTCACTACCGTTGATGGAAGGAGACAACTTTTGCTCATGGCCTTTGCCTCCACCTCGTGACTTCCTGGGGTATAATAGGAGGTAGCACTAGGGGAAATTAATCTACCCTGCTCTGCCAGCAGCAACCCTATCATGAGTTTCCCATGAATGGAAGGAGGCCTTTTGTCCATGGGAGGAAAGGTCTTTATCCAGCCCTTTGCTTTTATCCAGAGGGCTACACTGTTGTCTTCCTTTCAATTGGAATTCAGGGGAATCTTTAAGTGTTTGCTGATTGCCCCCAGTGCTTCTTAAAATTCTTTGGCACATAGGAAAGTTAAAACGGATTTGCAAAGCATAGTTTGTGCTAACTATGGTTTGATGCCAGGATAGCTAAGATCAGGCATAGGAAACTCGGCCCTCCAGATGTCTTGGGACTACAGTTCCCATAATCCCTGACTACTGGTCCTGTTAGATAGGGATCATGGGAGTTGTAATCCCAAAACATCTGGAGAGCCGAGTTTGCTTATGCCTGGCCAAGATGGTGCACAATTATTGTTGGACTAGAATGCTCATCAGCCCCGGAAGGCACATTCTACCATATGTGGTGGAAGTGCAAAATTACAAAAACATTATGGGAAATGATATATAACAGGGATGTTATAAAACTGGCAGTGATCTACCCATTGTCGTTGGATGGGCCAAAGTTGTTGAGCTTTTTTTAGGAAGCCAAAGGGGGGAGGGAGGGAGATCACTGAGGGGCCAGAGATCTACCAGGATCTATCAGAAGTGCCCCGTGATCTACCAGTAGATCACGATGTACCTGTTGGACATGCATGATATATAATGAGTTGGGGGGGGGAAAGTTTGACATAACATTTGTGGGAAAACCAGAAGCATTTTTACTAGGAATACCAAAGGAAAAGAAACATTTATTTATGCATGTGACGACAGCAGCGCGGATGCTACTGGCCCAGAGATGGAAAGAAGATAAAGTCCCAACCAGAGACAAATGGTTGATAAAGATGATGAACTATGCCAAAACGGCGAAAATGACCGGGAAAATCAGAAACCAGGAAGATAGAAACTTTAATAAGGAATGGGGAAAATTTACAAGTTACCTAAGACAACACTGTAAACAACTAAGAACTTTGGCAGGATTTTAGCAACACTTGTACAGTATTTAAAGGTAAAAATGGATTTTTCAAAAAGAAAAATGGAGAAATTATATGATGCAATAGACAAAATTTGATAATGAAAACCACGGAAGGGTGTAGGGACGTCTAAGGATTCAGGGAATCCTATATGTTGATGATTATGGTTAATGTTTGAATTCAAATGTATAGTGTAAAACTGAATAAAAAAAATACAAAATACAAAATAGAATGCTCATCAGCCCTAGCCAGCCAGTCTCATGGTCAGGTAGGATGGGATCTGTTGTCCAGCAACATGCTAGCTAGCCCTAGTTATCTACCCCTGGGTGTAATTTATAGGTTTGGACAAAGCATGCTGATGGTTGTAAATTCACTTTCAGAGACCCCCATAGAAATGGGAGTGCCAAGCAGATGAAAAACCAACTGAGATGTGCAGCAATAAACTATAGTTTGGTGGTGCATTTGAAAATTCAAACCATGGTTTAGATTAAAATCTATGGTTGGTGCAAATCATGATTTGGATGGATATCTGAATTGATCCAGTACCAGTAAAAATAAAAAAACAAAAAACCCAGAAAGGAAATAACTCAACGTAATTCCTATATGATCACAGTTGCAATATTTAGTTTCTTTACATACTGTATTTTCCACAAATAGATTATGCTCAAAGCAGTTGACAATGTATGTACAATGGCACAATAGCCATAGCAAATATAAACTATAAACAGCAATGTCGGTATGGTGCCATCTTATTTATTCAATTATTAAAGATGAAGATTTAAGGATGGGCAGTTGAGTAGCTTAGGTGTGGCAGATGAAAAGCTAAATAGCAAGACTTGGTTAAAATGGGTTGATTTTAACATATGGACAGGTGAGCTATATAATACAAATTAAGCCTTTCCCACATTAAGGAAAGGGTTGTAGACAAGGGATTCGTATAAATAAGATACTATTTATTTAGCATTTTTCATAAAATTATACACTGCTTGGTTGTGGAAACCCCCCTCAAAAAAGTATACAAAAAAAGACAAAACAAATGATTTAAACCAAATAGATTCAAAGTGTGTTTCTGAAGGAACTATTGGCACTGGAATGTTTTAAATATCTGTTTTTACCAGTGATTTTATTGTTTTATTCTTTCTTGCTTTGCAGTTTTGCTTTGAGGTTTTTAACAGTCAAGTGGTATATAACTTTTGTGAAATTAATGAATAAACAAGTCTAAAAAGGAGTTCTGTTATGGAAAAACTGGCTGCAAAAAATGCATGAACGAAGCAAAAATGTGTGCATTGGATGTAATGTGAATCCAGATGCGTACGTGTTTTCACACAGACTTAACTGAATTGGCAAACCTGCACAAAGGGGGTTATCTGAACTTAAGTTTGGGAAAAACAACAGACAGGGGGAAGCCAAAATGAAGGGTCTTGTCTATCCCTTGCTTAGGATGACATTTTGGCCAAGTGGGGAGGCAGAAAAAGGAAAGGGGTGAAGGTTTAGTTTACCTATGACTCTAGTAGAATCATAGAATTGTAGCGTTGAAAAGGACCCTGGGGATCATCTAGTCCAACCCCCAGCCAGGCAGGAATATGCAGCACAGGGATCGAACCTGCAACCTTGGTGTTCTCAGCACCACGATCTAACCAACGGAGTTATCTAGTTAACTAAAGCCAGGAGGAAAATTACTGGTAGTGGCAATAGCAATAGCGCCTTCTAGATTCTAGTGACATCACACCACCATGTAAATTTCTTTTTTTCTTTCTTCCAAAAATTTATTGGTTTTCTCTTATAGCACACAGACATAAACACAGAAAAAAACACCCATTACATTTAACACAACATAAAAACTTAACAACAATAAAAACACAAAAAATAAAAGAAGAATATTTTTCTTCTTATTCCCTGGTATATTTACATTGCTAAAAGACTTCCTCAACACTTTCCAATCTGAATTTCATCATAACACCTATTTAGCAGTTCCCAATTTCATATTTATAGCATCAATATCCTCTTTCATGACAGACTTCTTATTCTTACTTCCAATTGTAATCCACAATAGTCATTATTATTAATCTTTTTCTATCCCTTAGCCTAATCTGTTACTTCTAGGAATTTCTTAATTAACTTATATTACAATATCTCGCTAAATATTCTTTAAATTTCTTCCAGTCTTCTTGTGTTTCCTCCTCTTTCTGGTCACGGATTCTTCCAGTCAGGTCAGCCAGCTCCGAAAAGTCCATCATCTTCATCTGCCATTCTTCTATTGTCGGTATTTCTTGCAATTTCCAATTTTTGGCTAATAAAAGTCTTGCTGCTGTAGTGGCATACAAAAACAGTCTAACATCCTTGGGCAATTCCGGTCCTGTTATTCCAATTAGAAAGGCTTCTGGTTTCTTAATAAATGTATTTTTCAACATATTTTTTAATTCGTTGTAAATCTTTTCCCAGAAGTCTTTCACCACATATGATAAAAAGTGCCTTCTTTCTCTTTACATTTCCAACATAGATTATCATTAGTGTGGTAGATTTTTGCTAGTTTCGCCGGGGTTAAGTACCACACCATGTAAATTCTGTACTCTAGTGGATCCTGGAAAGAACAAAATGATGACCACTGATTACTAAGACTTTGGAGATTGCCACAGTGAGATATTGAAAAGGGAGAAAATTAAGCCGGTGAGCCGAAAAGGCCCCAGATTTCAGCTGCTACTTGCCAAATCATTGAAGAACTTTTAGCTCAGCCCTCTTCTCTCTGTCTCTGTCTCCCTCCCCTCACCAAATTTGAATGATTTGAGCTTAGCCGTAGGAGACATTCATGGCAGGGGAAAATGTGTGCTAGCAATGGACCCTCCGGTTACCTTTTGAATCGTTTTCTGCCGCGTTTTCAACGTTAATTGACAAAAAAGAGAGAGGAGAGAATTGTATTAGAAACCAGGCACCGGCTTGATTGTAGTGAAGATGGAAACCAGGGGAAAGAGCTTTGATTAAACAAGCGCTTCCGAAAGAGAATCCAGACATAAATATCCTTAGCCACTCTGCCTGGAAATTACGGCAAGTGGAAGGAACCTCTTCTGCAGATGGGCAAACCCCCGTGACTTCGCCAGTTATCCCTTACTTAAAAGCTATCAATTTAGAGCTGTCATGTGTATTGCCTCCGGAGTCGAATGAACCTTTTCAGTCTTTAATTAAGGGTGACAAACTCTTTGAACATCACAGCATTCATCTGTTCATGTGTGCAAAGCCGAGTGTAACAAAAGAATTTAATCAAACTACAAGCCTAATAAAGACTCCGTTGCCTGAACTAAATGATGTTATTGTGGCAGCCGCTCATAGTTTTACATTTAAAAAAGCGGGTCAGAGTGTTCATTCATCTTGATTAGCAATGCCAACCTAATTACTTCTGGAGGAAACAGTAATTAGCTGGAGTCTCACCTCATTAATCATGACATTCTTGTAGCAGACTATTTTTATCTGATAAATGGCTTGGATTGGAACAAGGTGTATATTTGAATTGTAGTTAATTGTACACAGCTTGCTGCATTTCACATTTTTTATCATTTAACTGCTTCCTTCCTATCAACACGCCGAGGCAATTTTGTGTGTGTGTGTGGGGAATGGAACCTACAAAGTAAAGATCAGCAACTAGATGTCCCTGGATGAAATCTGGCTTCCACTTGTCCATCAGTAGCTAACCTCCTGAGCCCATTCCATGCTGAAATATACTCAGAGTCGAGTGTGGATTTCATGCTCTTTATTCAGCTCATAGTGGTGAGGAGGAATGGAAGTTCCCCCACAATATCTGCTTTATATACATTATTTACACAATAGGCTGTATGTGATTGGCTAATTCCAGGATTCTCATGTAGGCCAATCAGGTTGTGGATTCACTTCCACCTGGAGCTGGATTGGGTGGCTCCTGCGGACCAATCATACTGCTGCATTGTTTTAGGACCAATCAGACTGCTGCATTCTGAATCCTATTGTTCTAGGACCAATCAGACTGCTGCATTCTGAATCCTATTGTTCTAGGACCAATCAGACTGCTGCATTCTGAATCCTATTGTTCTAGGACCAATCTGACTGCTGCATTCTGAATCCTATTGTTCTAGGACCAATCTGACTGCTGCATTCTGAATCCTATTGTTCTAGGACCAATCAGACTGCTGCATTTTGGATTCTATTGTTCTAGGACCAATCAGACTGCTGCATTTTGGATCCTATTCAACTCAGTACATAACACATGCTTTGAGCTCAAATGCTGTAGTAGCAACCATGATGGAAGTAAGCAGGTCTCTGTTTGGTCAATGTCAGGATGAGAGATTGCCTGGGAACCTCACGTGAGCTTCCTTGAGTTTCATCTTGAGTTTCATCGTGGAACAAAGGCAGGCTAATACTATCTGCAGTCAGTAGAGCACGAGACTCTTAATCTCAGGGTTGTGGGTTTGAGCAAAAAGAAGCTAGTCTTGGTGCACATGGACTTCATAGAATCATAGAGCTGGATCGTCTCATCCAACACCATGCAATGCAGGAAAATGCGCCCATACAAGGATCAAACCCATGACCTTGGCATTATTAATAAATAATAATAATAATTTATTTATATCCCACCCTCCCCAGCCAAAGCAGGGCTCAGAGCGGCTAACAACAGTAAAATAATACAGCAATCTAAAATCAATTCATTATAAAATCAGTTCAAATCAAATTAATGGCAACCATTGGGCTAGAGTTCTGTGAAGAATTACCAAAGGAGGGGGTCAGGCTGTGCCTTGGCCAAAGGCCTGGTGGAACAGCTCTCCTCTCCGTCCGAAGCCGCCCAGAGTTGCTGGGGAAACTCAGCCACATGGGTGGGGTATCAATAGTAAATTATTATTATTATTATTATTATTATTATTATTATTATTGGTGCCCCTGTCTCCCCAAACATGGCAAGCTCTGAGGTGTAGGGAACAGTGGGAGAGGTGCTATAGGAAGCTGAGGTAGGCAAGGGCCCACAGCCCATAACCCTAACTGGCCAGGTGGGGCTCGCTAGCTCTGGGAGGAGGGCTGTGCTTCCTCAGCTAAGGTAGGCTTGGAACAGATGAGGGTCGTCTGCCTCATCAAGCCCAGATGCTGCAATCAGCAGGCAAAGTGCAGCAGGGAAGCAGAGCTGAGGTACTGTTTCTGCTCAACTGCCCATGTTGAGGGACCTCAGCTCTAGGATCTCTGTGGGACTGTGGTTTGGACTCTGGATTTTGGACTTTGGACACATGGATCGACCCTGGACTGGAGACTGGGCCTACTGACGTGTTGCCAGGTAGGCAAGGGGTTCAGGACAGCTACTGACTAGCATTGTAGCCTCACTGAGAATGTCTTGATAATAATAATAATAATAATAATAATAATAATAATAATAATATATTTATTTATTTAAGGTATACCCCGCCCATCCGGCTGAATTTCCCCAGCTACTCTGGGTGGCTCCCAATTGAGTGTTAAAAAACAATACAGCATTAAATATTAAAAACTTCTCTAAACAGGGCTGCCTTCAAATGTCTTTTAAAGAGAAGATAGCTACTTATTTCCTTCACATCTGAAGGGAGGGCGTTCCACAGGGCGGGCGCCACTACTGAGAAGGCTCTCTGCCTGGTTCCCTGTAACCTCACTTCTCGCAATGAGGGAACTGCCAGAAGGCCCTTGGCGCTGGATCTCAGTGTCCAGGCTGAACGATGGGGGTGGAGAGTCATCTCTCTTCATTCCCACACTGTGAATGAATCAGTTGCTTCAACTTCGTTGTCACAGTTTCTTTCCCACTGCTTTGACCACCTGCCATGGTGCCACACCCAGGCATTGTACAATATCGTTGTGCTTCTTCACAGTTGGTCCTCTGTCAGTGACTTTTCTCCCGTGGTTTCCATAGTTACTTTTCCTGCCATGTTAGTAGTGCACCAGCAAAATAGACACATCGCTGTCATCCGAAATCACCCTGATGTGTTTGTGATGACACGCAGTGACAGCATAGATCACTTGGTGTAACATAATCATGTCTGCTGCTTCCTCTTGTGTTGTACGGAGGTCTCTTGTGTGGAGATACTGAATTGGTGCTTGTGAACCTATGTTTAGCAGAAGTATATTTGCAATTCATTTGCCTTGACATACCAACCAGAAGTTCTGCATGTATGATACTTAATTTTTGTATTTGTATTCATCAGCTCAACTTGTTTTGTGCTGTAACGGAGCCTGTTTTGAAAGTTCTGAGGTTTCTTGATGCAACAGAACTTTTGTTGTTTCCTTAAAGCTGACCTGATTGTATAGTTATAATCCGTGCTTTTTTCTAAAAAAAATATGTTTAAGGATACGCTCATTTTCCTACTCATATTGAAATACTGCCCCTCAAAGAGGTCAAACTTAGATTCACAAAATGTTTAGGGGTATGCGTACCCCCAGAAAAAAAGCACTGGTTATAATACATACCAAACTCTATGTATGCTGGGGTATCCAACAAAGTATAGAGGTAGAAAATCTGTAAAACCTATTGTTGGTGAGGTCAAGGTCACTATACAAGGCCTGACCACATAACTGGTAAGAACCAGTTTAGGAGGAGCCTAACACGCACTGTTAAAGTGAAAAACAACTCATGATAAGGTGCAAGGAGGGCTCTCCACGTAAAGCAAAAACTTGGCTTGAGCA